GGAGCCACTCGTCATATCTGCTCCAATCGGGCCATGCTCTTTGACTTTAAGGAGACTTCTGGCGACAAGGTGTGGATGGGCAACTCCGCCCAATCCGAGGTTCAAGGCGTGGGCAAAGTTAAGCTCAAGATGACATCCGGCAAGGAGCTCACGCTGAATGATGTGTTGTATGTGCCGGACATACGAAAGAACTTGGTGTCAGGCTCACTATTGAACAAACATGGATTCCGCATGATGTTCGAGTCTGATAAGCTGATCTTGAGCAAAAAGGGAATATTCATAGGCAACGGTTATATTTCTGATGGGCTTTTTAAGCTTAATGTACTCACTGTTGTTGAGAAAGTTAATAAAACTCCTTTTGCCTATGTTTGTGAGTCTTCCGATGTGTGGCATGGAAGACTAGAACATGTTAATTATGCATCCCTTCGGAAACTAATTAACATGGAATATATCCCTAAGTTTGACATCGACTTGTCCCACAAATGTGAGACGTGTGTTGAAGCAAAGTCAACACGAAGTTCGTTTCAAACAATTGAGCAAAACACTCAGCCACTAGATTTAATTCACACGGATCTGTGTGATTTCAAAGCAACGCCTTCAAGAGGTGGTAACAAATATGTTATCACTTTTGTCGATGTTAGCACGAAGTATTGCTATATTTATTTACTTAAAAGTAAATATGAGGCGTTGGACACTTTCATTCGGTATAAGAATGAAGTAGAAAATCAACTCAATCGCAAAATTAAAGCGATTAGGAGTGATAGGGGCGGGGAGTACGAAGCTCCATTCTCCGAATTGTGTGCACAACAAGGGATTGTGCATCAAGTAACCCCGCCATGCACACCCCAATCAAATGGTGTGGCAGAACGTAAAAATCGCACTCTCAAAGATATGATGAATGCGATGTTACTCAGTTCGGGGCTACCCCAAAATATGTGGGGGGAGGCTATTTTATCTAGCAATTATTTGTTAAATAAAATACCCCGAAAGAAACTCGATAAGACTCCTTACGAGTTGTGGTATAATAGGAAACCTTCCTATAAATACCTGAAAGTGTGGGGGTGCCTTGCTAAAGTTTTAGCACCACCACCAAAGAAAATAAAGATTGATCCAAAGACCGTTGATGGAATCTTTATTGGCTATAGTGGTAGCGTGTATCGATTCTTAGTGTATAGGTCTGATAATCCAGAAATACATAAGAACACGATAATGGAATTGAGGAATGCAACATTCTTCGAAAATATATTTCCGTTAAAGTTGAGGGAAGAAGCAAGTTCTTCAAAACGTTCACATGATGAAATGTTGAATGATGGTTCCTCGGATCAGTCTAATACCGGTATAATTGATGAAACCGAAACTGAGACTGAACTAAGACGAAGTAAAAGGACACGAACTCAGAAGTCCTTTGGTAATGATTTTCTAACTTATTTGTTGGAATTTGAATCGGGGACTCTATCATTTTTTATAGAGACTGAACCCGATATTCTAACATGTTTATTAGAAAATGAACCACGAACTTATCGTGAAGCAGTGACTTCGTCTGAAGGCCCTCAGCGGAAAGGGGCAATTAAAAGTGAAGTTGATTCTATTATGCAGAATCACACTTGGGAGTTAGTGAACCTGCCTCCTGGGTACAAACCGTTAGGTTCTAAGTGGATCTTTCGGAGGAAAATGAAACTAGATTGTTCCATTGATAAGTAGAAAGCCAGACTTGTAATTAAGGGTTACAATCAACGTGAGGGCTTTGATTATTTTGATACATATGCCCCTGTGTCAAGGATTAATTCCATTAGGATGATACTTGCAATAGCTTCCTTACGGAACTTAGAAGTACATCAAATGGATGTGAAAACAGCTTTCCTTAATGGAGATCTAGAAGAAAAGATCTACATGGAACAACCAGAAGGGTTTATAGTTCCTGGTCAAGAAAGGAAAGTATGTAAACTTGTTAAGTCATTATATGGTCTTAAACAGGCGCCAAAAGTATGGCATGAGAAGTTTGACGAGGTAATGATGAACTCTGGGTTCAGAATTAATGAATCAGACAAGTGTGTTTATCTAAAAAACACATCCCAAGGGTATGTCATGTTGTGTCTATATGTAGACGACATACTCATAGTTGGTAGTGATGACAAGATGGTCAAGTCTACCAAAGACATGTTAAACTCGCGATTTGACATGAAAGATATGGGTCTGGCTGGAGTAATTCTTGGAATTAAAATTGTGAGAAGACCTGGGGTCTAGCATTGAGCCAATCCCATTATATTGATAAAATCCTTGACAAGTTCAACAAGGATGACGTTAGAGTAGTAAAGACGCCGTTGGACGTCAACGCACACCTGGTTAAAAACCGAGGTTCCAGTAACTCTCAAATCAAGTATGCGAGAGTTATTGGAAGTTTGATGTATCTAATGAGTTGCATTCGACCAGATTTAGCCTGTGCCATAAGTAAGCTGAGTAAATACACTAGCAATCCGAGTGATGAGCACTGGAAGGCTATTGTACGTGTGATGAGATACCTGCGGTATACACGTGACTATGGATTATGCTACTCAAGATATCCACCGGTATTGGAAGGATACTCGGATGCGAATTGGATATCTGATAGTAAAGACTTGAAGTCCACAAGTGGATATGTCTTTACGCTAGCGGGTGCAGCAATATCTTGGAAATCCTCAAAGCAAACAGTGATTTCTAGGTCCACCATGGAGTCTGAGTTTATAGCTTTAGACAAATGTGAAGAGGAAGCTGAATGGCTACGCCCCTTCCTAGAGGACATTCCAAGATGGGATAAACTGGTCCCACCAGTTTGAATCTATTGTGATTGTCAATCAGCAATAGGACGTGCAAAGAGTAATATGTATAATGGTAAGTCTAGACATATTCGTCGTAGACATAAAACCATTAGACAACTTCTCACAACTGGGATTATCACGATTGACTATGTGAAGTCAAAAGATAATCTGGCGGATCTGCTAACCAAAGGGTTAACAAATGAGTTGCATGAGAAGTTGGTGGCAGGAATGGGTTTGAAGTCCTTGTGCTAAGAAAGTCCTATGAAGGAAAATCCAACCTGGCTGGTACCCAGGTTCAATGGGACAACCTACTTGTAGGATGAAGCGCGGTCACTGTGGGGGCGGTGCCGGTTCCCCTGGTCAGTCCCCTTCCGTTCCTGCTTAAGACAGTGAGTCCCGAAAATGACGAGGTTAGCATATAAATATGCTTTAATGATTCTTGAACATTAGACACGGTGGTCTAAGTAGAGTAATCGGGATACTCTAAGAAGAATCACCTATGTAAGAGTGAAGTGTGGTCGCTTCAAATAGAAGATTCTGGGTTTGATCCTCTAAACACTATCGCAGAACCAAGCGCGTGTCCCACGACCGAAATGGGCACAACCATGAGAACAGAATGACGTTTGGTTGGATCTGTGTATGGTATACTATCGCTTACACAAACGGCAGTACAGTTCAACTTTGAATTTAATATTTCATAAATCTATTCTCTTTGAACATAAAAATTTTTACGTTACCACCTTGGAACATGCAATGCTGATGTTGAAAAAAATAACAACATTTATTTTATAATCTCAAAATCAGATGTCCTTTTTTTTCTTTTATGCATAATACGAAATATTATAATATAAGTTACCATTTATATATTACCATTATAGATGGTACACAAAGTATTACTCCGTAGCATTTATAAATTATTTTTTATATTAAAGAATAAGGACTATTATTTTGACTTTATTATTTTATCATTTTCATTATACACATATAAATATAACTAGTATCACACCCGTGCGTTGCACGGGTCATTTTTAAGTTATTAAATTCAAATTATTTTTCAATGATAAAAAATGAGATGCAATAGAATATAGAAATTATATTATTTTAAGATACAAAACATTACTTCTTTACAAATATCGAAACACTTCTTTATAGACTACATTATTTGTATAATTTGTGCGAATATTGTACTTATTGCATATCAGAATTTTCAACGAACTACGATTAGTTACTCTTGAAACTGCAACATAGAGTTGTCCATGACTAAAACATGTTGGATTATTGTTACGGAAACGTGTAATAAACCCTAACTTCTCGTAGCTTCATCATTAACTGCTCGTAGCTTCATCATGAATGTAATGGCTATGAAATCTTTGTAAATGGATGTATTTATAATATGATTTTTGCATACGGGGTTAAAAAAATTATTCATTTTTCAAAGTTCTATAACAAATTTAAATTACTATTACTATATCTAAATTATTTAATTTATTATATTCAAAATTACTTCATACTATAATTAAAATTACTATAATTAAAATGACATGGTAATTAATACAGAGTATACAATCATCTAGTCACACAGTTATATAATTAATACCTTATTTAATTATTACCTTTTTTATTAAAATTACTATAATTAAAATATAGTAAAATATAGCCATTATAAAATATAGCCACTATAATTAAAATATAGCCATTATAACATTACTATTATAAAATTTCTATAATTAAAATTTTTATAATTAAATTGACATGGTAATTAATATACAATTATGTAGTCACACGATTATATAATTAATACCGTGGTCAATTATTACCTTTTTTGATTATTACCTTTCTTGCTAGTATAATTTCGGACACTTTAAAAATTAGAGTTAATTATTACCTTTCTTGGTTATTATCTTTCTCTCTATTAAACGTAAATATATATATATATATATATATATATATATATATATATATATATATATATATATATATATATATATTTAAAGAATATTTAATTCTTACAGTAGTTATAGTCTATTTTATATTGCTATAATTTCGGAAACATTACTTTCTTACCATCTTTAGTACTTAACAATTACTATTACTATATTTAAATTATTTAAAGTATTATATTTAGAATTACTATAATTAAAATTACTATAATTAAAATAACACGGTAATTAATACGGAGTATACAATTATGTAGTCACACAGTTATATAAATAACACCTTGGTTAATTATTACCTTTTTTGATTAAATTTACTATAATTAAAATATACTCCCTCTTCCCCATTTTAAATTGTGTGTTTGCTTTTTTTCCATCCCAAAAGAAGTTGCATGTTACTTGTTATCGTAAACTTTTAAGAGTAAAATACCTAAACTACCCCTAAAATAAGTTACTCTTCTCCACCTTATCTTCTCATTTATCGTCACCCCTCCTAAAAAGTAATGACAATTTCGAAAAATCAACTCCATTTTTTCTCTTCCTTAAATATGCCCAAAAGTCAAAATAGGCAATTTAAAACAGGACGGAGGGAGTACTAAAATATAGCCATTATAAAATATAGCCACTATAATTAAAATATAGTCATTATAAAACTACTATAATAAAAATTACTATAACTAATTTGACACGGTAATTAATATACAATTATATAGTCACACGTAATATTAGATTTCATTAATAGCGTAATATACAATTTTAATTAAAACTACTATAATTAAAATTACTATAATTAATTTGACACGGTAATCACTAGAGCTGGCAAATCGGTCGGTCAGGTCGGGTTCGGTCACTTCAAGTTCGGGTTATTTCGGCTTCGGGTCAATTCGGGTTGAAAACTTTATGTTCATAACCCAGTGTCATCGGGTTCGGGTCGACCCAACGGGTTATGACTTTGGTTATTTAAATTTTTAAATTCACATTAATAAATTTAAAATATCAAAAAAAAGTATTAAATCTATAAAATTATTTTATTGTAAACTCTAAAGTAGTATTTAGATATAAAAATCAATATAAGGAATTTAAAAATGCTTATGTTTTGGGGAAAAAGTAAGATAATTATGCAATATTATTAAAATTTTGTCTGAAAATATGAATTTATACACTAAAAACGAGTAAAAAAGTGTACAATTTTGAAAAATTCTTACTTTAGCGGGTCGGGTTCGGGTTCGGTCGGGTTTGACCCATTTTTAGCGGGTCATTTCGGGTTCGGTCAACTTCGGGTTCGGTCATCAAAACCTTTGTTCAAAACCCAGTGTTTTCAGGTCGGGTTTCGGGTCAAAAACAGGTCGGGTCACTTTTTGCCAGGTCTAGTAATCACACGTAACATACAATTTTAATTAAAATTAAAATTACTATAATTTAAATCACTCGTAAGATTCCAATTTTAATAAAAACTTACACTTTCCAATTTTATAACTTACCTTTCTTGCTATTATAATTTTGGACACTTTAAAAATGACAGTTAATTAATTTTTTTTTTGCACATAAAACACAGATTTCATTTCACTTCTTCATCACCAAAGTACAACTGTTTCATATAAATTTACATCATATTCATATATTCAATATAACTGCTAATGTAGTATCAAACATATTCTATGGGATCTTCAACTGAACAAGCTTTTTGGTGTATTATTTTGTTCCTCAATCTCCATATGCTCTACGCACATCCCGCCCATACAGCCCACAACTGTTCCCTTCTTCTCTATTCCTTGATTTGCTGCGCATGCCCCTCCATGTCCAGCATCTTCGTTACTTTGTTATGGAAGCCAAACATTGGGAAGCAGGTTTTGGAAATCTTCTGAGTTACTTCACACTCCTAGAATAAGTGTTTCTCTGTTTCAATAGATAATCCACATAACACAATCAGTCTCTAGCTTAATATACTTACTCAGCCTTTCTTTGGTTTGCATTCTCCCTTTCATTAACAACCAAATCACGAACTTGAACTTTGGAGGGGTACTTTTGTTCCAGATGTACCCACTCCATTTTGCTATCTCCATGCTTCCTTGTAACCATCTGTACCCATCACTTATACTGTAAGGTTTCCCTCTTGGCATCATTCTGAATTTGTCTCTCACTCTTGTCATTTCCCTCCAGTAGTGGCAGGCATCTTGTTTCAGTTTGTGTTCCCAGTAATCTTCCCCTTTAATGTATCTTCCATGAATCCATTTTACCCACACCATATCCTTCTTATCTGCCACATCCCAATTCAACTTCATTATTGTAGCTTTATTCCAGTTAGACGCATTTTTAATGCCCAAGCCTACAAACTTCTTTTCTTGACACACCTCCTCCCAATTAACCAATGGTGTCTTTATGTATTCATGATTGCTGCTCCACAAGAAGTTCCTACACATTGCCATAACCCTCTTTATGACCTGCTTAGGCAAAATAAAGATTCTGGTCCAGAATGTTATTATCCCCATGAGTATCAAATTAATGATCCTGACTCTAGCCATATATGATAAATTTCTAGTGCCCCATGTTGTTATCCTGCTAGTCAGTTCATTGATTAGGGTATCACAATCGGCTTTTTTCAATTTGGATGTAGTGATAGGACTCCCAGATATGTAAATGGTAGTTTGCCCATCTTCATGCCGGTCATACCTAGTAACTCCTCTCTGATTTGCTGATTTACTCCTCCAAACACTATTTGGGATTTGTTTTTGTTTATTCTCAATCATGTTGCCCCTTTGAAATCCTCCAATAGGGTGATACTTAAATCTATCTCTTTGGGTAGCCACTTGGAAACTTCTTGTTAAGTACTCCATTACAAGTACAAAGAGTAAAGGGGAGATTGGATCCCCTTGTCTCAGTCCTTTGGCCCCCTTAAAGTATCTAAATTGACCTCCATTTATATTAATTGTGTATGTGGGTGTTGTAACACAGAACATATCCCAGTTTATAAACAATTTTGGAAACTTCAGGCTATGCATCATACCTCGAATAGCTTTCCAGCTCAAAGAGTCATAAGCCTTCTGAATGTCCAACTTCAAATCCTTTTATTTAATATTTTTATTTTCGTAGAAATAGGAGAATTTATTTTCTTAACTTATATCGAGGTCATATGAGCCGACCAATTATTGCGTCGATCTTTTATGTTCGTCTTTGAAAGGAATTGGTCTACTAATCCGTTTCCAATGGATTCCCACTTTTTAAGAGTAAAATAGAGGCTACCTACTAAAAAAATAGTTTGAGGATAATTTATGAACGACGTAACCTATTATTTAATTTCGTTGGCCTCCCAATCATACATCTTGGTGAACACTGCTTCCTGTTGTATCCTTTAGCAATTTCCTGACACATTAAGACATTATGTATCAATTCCCTTCCTTGAACAAATGCCTCCTGATTTAGATCCACTATATCTGGTAACACCTCCTTCAATCTCATGCATAATAGTTTGGAAATAACTTTATATATTGTATTACAACATGAGATTGGCCTGTAATACAATGGGCTATTGGGATCTGATACTTTAGGGATGAGGGTTAAGACAGTTGCATTGACTTGGGTTAGGGTTTTCCCCTCCTTAAAGACATCCAAAACAGCTTTGGTGGTCAGACCTCCAACCACTTTCCATTGTCCCTTGAAAAAACCACTACCAAAACCATCAGGTCCAGGACTTTTATTGCTTGGGACTGAGAATATGGCCTCTTTCACTTGTTTAGCACTGAACGGTTTGATTAGTCCCAATTGTTGTGTGATGTTCAACGTTTTCCCTCTTCTTACTATACTGTCATCAATACCTTCCGTGTCCTCCTTTGTACCTAACATTTTTGTATAACACTCCACAAATACTTTAGCTATTTCCCATGTCCCTTCAACCACATCTCCTTTCCCTATTTGAATTGATAGAATATGGTTTTGGACACTTCTTTTCTTGATCCAGGCATAAAACATCCTTGAGCCCTTGTCACCTTCAGTAATCCAATCCAATTTACTCTGTTGATACTTCATATTGTTTGAGGCCTTGATAGCTTTGTGCAGTATATCCTTGAGCTCCCTCTCATTATCAACCAACTCTTGAGTTAGTGGCATCGTTTTTTTCTCTTGTTGTAGCTTTAGCAACTCCTCTCTGGCCTCATCTGTTTTTTTGGGGATGTCTTTGTACTTGTCTTTGTGTAATCTTCTGAGAGGCCCTTTTAGATTCTTCAGATTCTGTACCAACTTATACATATTCCTGTTGTCTCCTTCTGTTTTCCACTCCTTCAGCATGATTTGTGGCATGTCTGGGTCATCCAACCACATGTTGCAGAATCTAAAACCTGTATTTTGTTGTGACTTATCCACACTTGTTATCAGTAGTGGTGAATGATCTGAAACCCCTTCACCTAATACTCTTGTTTTGGAGGCATATTTTGTCATCCATATATCATTGGACAAAGCTCTATCCAGTTTTGACCAAATTCTTTTGTCAGGTTTCTGTTTATTTGACCATGTGAAGTAGGGGCCTACCCAAGGCATTTCTTCCAAGCCTCTCTAGCACACACCCTTTAAAATCCTGCATTTCTTCATCAGTGACTGGATTTCCTCCTTCCCTATCCTTGGCTTCCAGTATAGCATTATAATCCCCAATGCAACACCATGGGTCATTCATATTCTGGGCAAACTTCTTGATACTTTCCCATAATGGTTTTCTGCTCACTTGGTCATTATAAACGCATATACAAAAGTAATCCAAAAAATATTCATCATTCCCAATGTCCCTACCTTTGCAGTGGACCCATTGTGCATTAGCCTCCACAACTTGGATATGAACCTTCCTTTTATTCCATACCACTCAAATCCTCCCCAGGGGATGATACTCAGTATTAGTAAATGTTCCCCAACCTGCAAACATTTTATTTAGGATAGCCTCTTCCTTATCCTTCTTTATTTTTGTTTCTAGTGTTTACTTCTTTGTAATACTTTTTGTGTTTTTTCAATTTATTTTGGCAAACGAATACATTTTTTACTATTTGTGTTCATGAGATGATTTGCAATATTTATTCTTGTTGATTAGAATTTTATTACAGATAAAATACAAACATAAGTTATAGTATTGGTACATAAATTTGAAATGTATTAGATCGCTAATATAGAGGTATCTTATTTTGAATTAGAATATATTAAAAAAATATATTAAATGATAAAATCAAAACATTTAAAAAAAATTTAGTATTAAAGTTAAATTAATTTTAAGTATAAGAAAAAAACATAAAAAAATTATATTATAAAACTATATAGAAAAAATATTTAAAAAAAGTAAAATGTAATCGGTCCACCGGCCCAGACCAGACCAGAACACGAATAAGGAAAAAGTGAGGACCAAAGACCGGACCGAATAGCGACTGGTCCAAACCGGTTTTGAAATCAGCTTAGAAATTATCTCAAACAACTTTAAATATAATATAGGGCTGTAAATGAATAACCGAAAATTTTAATACCGTCCGCATTTGTATCCATTTATACGGAAAATATCCGCATCCTTTAAAAGCGGTTATTATCCGTATCCGATTAAGAATATCTGATTGGTAAAAGAATACAGATTTGGTACACCCAATCCGTTTATAATCCGCTCCACATAGGCATCCATTTAAGTAACCGTTTATCCGTATATCCGATCAGTTATATATAATTTTTCCTAATTTTTTATTGATATATTTTGCTCTTCTATTGGCATCTCATAATATAAGATATTTTTATATGCAAAAAATATGTGTAGATGCATAAAAATATGTGTACACACATAAAAGTATGTGTGTATCTGTAAATAAATAAAATTAGACGAAAAGAACAAGCTTTTAATCTTGATGCTTAGCTAGCCCATCTATGGTACACAGGAAAAGAACTAAATTAAAATTAAAACATGGAGAAAGTATTAAAATAGAAACTTCATGTTTTTTACCAAAATAATAATTATAATGTCAATAATGCCTATATATAGTACCAAAAAATACAGCAGGATATCACTATATAGTTTCATAATGTGAGTCTGTGACGGTGCAAAATCTTATTTTTTGGGAATAAAAACTTAGTATGTTTTACTCCTATTTTAACTGATTTCTTATGGTACATTTTGTATTTTTTTTATACATTCGCACAAATACTTATTCTTGAGTAATAGAGTATTTATTTTGCAAATTTATTTATTTTAATACTTATTCAAATACACTAGGCTTGACCAATTTTATTTCAATTCAATTTATATAATTATAGGTGTAAAATTAATAAATATATTGTAAAACAACAACAACCAAGTCTTATTCCACTAGAATGGTTCCGCTACATGGTTCAAACGACGTCATTGCATCATATCAAGTGTCATGACTTAAAATTTTATATAGTAAAAAAATAACATAAAAAGTTTTACTGAATAAGAGGTAACATGCCTGTATTATTTTATAAAATGAGTAATAAAAATAAGCAAATTGTAATGCCCTAAAAATAGGCATATCAGAATTAATTAATTAATGATTAATTAATTACTGAGAAGGACAAAAAATAAGTGATTTATAAAGTTTGTCAATAAATAAAGAGAATTATATCGTTGTGTAAACTTTGACTGTCTGACCACAACGGTTCAATCGAATTTAAATTCAGAGAAAGTTAGACCAAAACGTGTACCCCGATTGAGACCAAATTAGTCCCAATCAGGGAACGACATATAAAATCAACCAAAATCACCATTGGGCACTACACCGATCAGTCATCATCGCACAGGACCTCCTATGGCTTCTTCCCTGCTCTCCCTATATAAGCCACCTCAATCTCCCTCATTTCCTCACCAAATCATCCCATTCTTCCTTCTTTTCTTTTGCTCTGAGTGAAGAGAACGCAATGATGTCAATTTCGTGAGAGATCACCGGAATTAGGAGTAATCATCGCCGGAAATTTCACCGTAAAATTCTCAAAACCTCCATTTAAGCCCGAGGTAAGCCTTTATAAATATCTAGTGATTAGAATATTCGTATAAATTGTTTCTACATTCATAAAGGTAGGCGCTAGTATTAAGGGACAAGATGTAACACCCATGATCCCCCACAATCATGATCATGGGCCACTTTCCATGCCTTCAAAGACATGGGAGGCACTTTCCATGCCTTCAATCTCCTATCCTCCAAAAAGGCATGTTATTACTTTGTCTCTCATGTTGTCTAACCATTTCGATGTTTTGATATATACTCTCTGTGTGTGTGTGTGGACTGTGGAGTCCGAACGCTAAAATGACGCAAAGGAGTACACAAGGAAAGAATTGTTCACAGATCTCACTGCACATAAGTCGCACTGTTCGTTTAGTCGTTATTTAGTAGTTACAAATCCAAAAACTTGAAGTTCCACCAAGGCCACTGTGACTATTATTTCACTAAAGCTATTCAATGCTGAATTTCAGATAATTTTATTTCTGCTTAGGGTGTGTTTGGTGCAAAACATACTTAAAACGCGGAACCCAAAAATATCACTCTCCCATCCTCCCATGAACATTTGGAGAAGAGGGGAGGGATGGGGGGAGGGTTGGGCAACACATTAAAGAAAATATGTTTGAACCAAAGGGAGGGAATCACTCTCCTACCCCTCCCACCGAAGTCCAAACACACCATAAAACTAGCCCCTATGTCAAACTGACTTTAAGACAACCGGATCAGAGTGAATTAGGCAGCAACTAAACCTTATGATTCACTGGAAAATCTGGCTTAACTGCTTCATGGCCAGAGCTCTCTTCTTGTGAGGAATCTACTCCATGGGCAGTGCTTGAAGCTCTGGCTAGCTGCTGAATACTGGGTTCTATGACATCGGCATCACTAACTGCTTTCCTTTCAACATCACCTCCTGAACCCATTGCATCTCTAGTCACTTCTTCACTTCCAGCCTCGGTTGTTTTAGGCCATCCTCCTCCTGAGTCTAGGGCTGCTTCCATTTCCGTGTATCTGGAAATGGCTTTCTGAATTTCATCATGAAGGTTCAAAGCCTCAAATAGCATCCCCTCATCATCAGATGTGTTCTCTATGATCCTCTTAGTAACAGCAAGCGACTGCTTGCAATTTTCCAGAATGCTTACGGCCAAATCTTCCTAAGAACACCACAAACGAGAATTTAGTAAAAGTTGGGTTTTAATATTTCCTAATTCAGTTCTTTCGGCATGTCAAAGTGCCAATTACAGAGATCGGGCATTGAGAGGAATACATTGGGAGCATTAACCTAACCTTGATTGGTTTGGGATCAACTTCAGAGTTCAGTATGCTGCAAAAGAGGTCCAAATTGTTTCGTGCAATCACGAGGAATTCCCTCTTTTCTTCAACAGACCCACCACCATAAGTAAGAGAGCCGGGGTGCTCTTGATTCGCCGTGTTGGGAAAAGGGTAATTTTCAGGTGCTGGTATCGGCCGTTGATTAACGTATGACTCCAAGGGGTATTGCATAGGAAAAGTGTTCCCATCTTGCATTTCTGGAGGTACCCTGGTCTTCAAGTTCTAAAAAAAGCATATAAAGAAACCCAAAGGTCATTTTAATTACACTTCCTCTCCTTTCAGCATTATACCATTTTAGTAATTTCTAACAGATTTAACAAAATACAGCTATGGAATGGTCATATGAATTGAATAAGAAAACACAAAGGAAAGAGCGAAAAGAGCTAGGAGAAGAAGATGAGGAAGAGTTATCTTACCAAATAAGTTTGGCTGAACACGGGCAGGTAATTGAGCTCTTCAGACTCGCCCCAGGCCCTAATCAATTGCATAGCCCGCACCCGGTTCTCGTGGTCAGTCTTGGGATCATCAATCATCCGCATCATATCATCGAGGACTTTCTCGGAGGCGACCTCGGAGAAGACCTTCTCGCAATTGGAAGTGCAGGCCTCGAGCAGATCCAGGCTCAGCCTCTGGCTCGCCGCGCTCTTTCCCTGCTGCAGCTTCCTCTTGATCGCCTTCACCACCTCTGCGCCACTGAACTCCTCGCGGCCGATCATGGCGCAGATCCGGAGATTCAGCCCCCAGTTGGCCTCCTCCATCGTCTCTAACGTCGCTTCGTCCACCATCTTAGACTCCGGTGTCGGCGCTTGCAACATCTCCTTCACTTTGGTGCTTAATTTCCGGCTCATCTCGGCCCCTCCGGCCTTCAGTCTCTCGCCCAGAGACGACGAAGCCAGTTTCAGCTTGTCAAATGTATCCATGGTTTGCCAATTACCACTCCTGGTTTCGGATTATTGTTTCAGTTTCTTGAGTGAGCGGGCATCAGTGGTTGCTTGATTTGATGGACCCTTGCTTTCCACTGAAAATCGTGGCAAGAAAAATCCAATGTTCCCACACGCAATATATACAGTACACGAGGGTGACTTGCTGGTGCCTGGTGGGAGTGGTGGGTGTGTACGAGTTGAAATACTATTTTTGTAAATTTTACAAACTTTTTATCTAATGCCTAAAATATATATGAGAAGTATTATACATATTCTTATTTAATACGGAAGATTTGAGAAGTAGTATCAACACTTATAGAAATATATAATGAGTACCAGCAGATTTGAGAAGTAGTATCAACACTTATAGAAATTATCATATTCTTATTTAATACGGAATACAAACATGAATAAACCTGGATTTTAAATTCTCCATACTCAGAGAGTATAAATGAGTAAGAACGAATTGAATAGAGAAAGAAGTTGATGATGTTACTGAACTTTTTAATTGTGAAAAAATTGAACAATACTTTATTTCAGAATGAACATTTCTTTATTTGAGAATGAGTATTGTTTTTTTAAGAATGAACATTACGCTATTTATTATAATTATATTAGACAAATGTGTAAAAATGAGTACTTTTTTATTTTAAAATGAGTACTACCTTTGCCAGAATGAGTACTACCTATTTCGAAATGAATGTTTATATTTGTACAAGAATGAGTACTACTTTATTTCAGAATGAGTACTACCCAGATGTACCTATTTCTAGGTACATCCGGATGTACCATATACCAACTCTCATCTGGTTGGTTGACTAAGGCCCGTTCCGTTGAACTTATTTTTTCTTATTTTTTCTTATTCTTATTAAAATCAAATTAGATCAAATCAGACCAGACCAGATCGAATTAGACCAGATCAGATCGAATCAGACCAGATCAGATCCCATCAGATCAGACCATATCAGATCCCATCAAAAATTATTACTATGATTATTATTATTATTATTATTAGTACTATTACTATTATTATTATTCTTAAAAATGAAAAAGAATAAACTTTCGAAACAAGTTAAATAGAAAACTGAGAAAGTAATCTTTAATTATTAGACGTCGGAAAAATTATTTTTAAAATACATTGACAATGTCAATCTACTTTTTACTTTTAAAATACTTTTTATTGCTACATGTAATTTGAGTTTCTAAAGTTTTGATCTTTTGTAAGGATGAGATATTTTAATAAAAATACTATCTCTTCTATATATTGATTGTCGAAATTTAATAACTTTTTAATGTATACATAAATTAAATATTTATTCTAATGTATATATGAAATAATTATTAAAATATTAAATTAGTATTATAATTTCACAAAAAAATAATCATAAAATAAAAATATTATTACATTATAATATTAATGATTATTCTAATATATAAATTAACTAATTTTATTTTATTAAAAATATTCATAAAATAAAAATATTGATTATATTAAAATATGAATAGAGCCATTAATATTGATTATTTTATTATAATCATAAAATATTGATTATAATAAAATATTGATTATATTAAACGTTACGGAGTATTATAAAGTCAAATCAAATTATTGATTTGAATTTTAAATCAAATCCTAATTAATCAGATCAGTTCCAATCAGATCAAACCAGATCAGATCCAATCAGATCAGATCAGATCAGATCAGAAAAAATAAGTTGAACGGAACGAGCCTAAGTTCCTCTTCCTTTGAACTTATTTTTTTTGTTTTTTTCTTATTCTTATTAAAATTAAATTAGATGAGATCAAATCAAATCAGATTGAATTAGATGAGATCCGACCAGATCAGATTTAATCAAGAATTATTATTATTATTATTATTGTTATTGTTGTTGTTATTTTAAAATCCATACCTTTTACTTGTTTTACTTGATACGATTCTTTCAAAAAAATAAATTTAATTTTTCTTGAAAAATATAAGTAGAAAAAAAATGAAACTTTTGTGCGATTATAATTTATGTAGATAAAAGTAAAATGTTTTATTTGTGTGATTATAATTTCAAGTTACATTATTCCCCACTCTTCATCAATGTTTTATAATACGAGTGTGTAACATTTTATGCAATATATTATTTATAACATACAACATTTTTTCCAAACACATCTAGCATGTAATATATTATTATACAATATGCAAAAAAATATATTACTTCTTTCTTAACATTCATATTTTATAAAGATGAGATATTTTAATAAAAATACTATCTCTTCTCTATATTGATCATCTAAATTTAATTACCTTTCAATGTATATATATGAATTAAAAATTATTCTAATGTATATATGAACTAATTATTAAAATATTAAATCATTATTCTTATTTCATAAAAAAGTAATCATAAAATAAAAAAATTATTACTTTATAATATGAATAATTATCCTAATATATAAATTAGCTAATTTTATATCATTAAAAAATAATCATAAAATAAAAAATATTAATCATATTATAATATGAATTATCATGACAATTTTCAAAAGTTCTTATAATGTTCGATCAAATTATTGATTTGAATTTTAAATCAAATTATAATTAATCAGATTAGATCAGATTGGATTCAATCAGATCAAATCTAATTTGATCAAATCAAATCACATCAGATCAAATCATATTAGCTCAGATCAGATCAGATCAAAACTACAAAAATCAGATTAGATCAGAAAAAATAAGTTGAATGGAATGGAGCCTAAGTGAACATGGTACTAGAGTTCATTTCAAATTAAAATTCATAATTTAACTTGATACATATGACATAGAAAATTTGTGAGCCATTCAATCTTTTCCATAAAAAGAAATAAAGAACTCTTTTTAGGACATCTCAAAACGGGAATAAGGCTAGGAGTTCTTTTGGGACAGAGGGAGTATTTATTTTTTAAAGTTTAGTTATGCTTGAAATTTGGAAATAAATTTTATGTTACTATAAAATTTGTATTCTGTTATTCAAATAATATTATTCCAACGGATATACAAGAAATATCGTACGTCAATAATGTTATCGTACAATACACAAATTTTGTGGAATGTCAATATGCAATGTTGTTGGAATGCATGAGTTCAATCTTTTCTGTGTTGCTAAGTGTTGACTCACAGGTTTTGACAATTGACAAACACAATTTATTCAAGTCAAGATCAAAGTGTTACAATGACACACACGAAGACTTGAAGTGCCATTCCTTGAAGTATTCAAGAAGGTGCATAGGATTTTATTGGAGTCCGAGACGCGTTCGGAGTGCCTAACGGAGGACTCGGAGGAGTAAAAGATTTCTGAAGACTTTTTATTTATTTGAGTCTTAGGAATTATTGTAAGGATGACAAAAATATCTTCTCTCCAACAATTATTTTTATGAGAGTAAAAATAAAAATTATATTTATTTTTGGAGTCAGTTGAAAAATCTTTTAACTGTTCAAAATACTTTTATTGAGTCAGTTTCAAAAAGAGTGTCAAACATTTATCAAAATATTTATTTTGATATTAGAAAATATTTTTGGAAAGCAAAAATATTTTATTCAAATATTTTCATGTTCATCGTTTGACACACAAAATATTTTTGGGACTCATTTTCTACACCAAAAATATTTTCTCATAATTCAAATTTTGAATTTGAATTATATTTGTTGATTGGGGAGGTCATTGATTTGATTTTTATGTCCTAAACAAGTGCTTAAATCCAAAATAGCATTTCACCCCGCACACATGATTGTGTTCTTCATGTTTGGGCATAATTGCATAAAAAATCGATTTTTACACTTTGGCCAAAATCGATTTCATTTCGGCAGTTGAAGGAATGTTGGACAGAACCTAAAAATCGATTATTGCTTTAAATTAATCGATTATTTGACTGGTTTTTTAGCATACTCTTCTTTCTTAGCTCCAACGGACATATGGGAGAAAAACCAAAATAGCACTCTAAGAGCATTAAAATACTCTAAATAGCAGTGCTATATGTTTCATACATGTAATTCCGATTTTGTCCTTTAATTAAACAGTATATGTTCATTATTCACTGCCAAAAAATATGATTATTGTGGGCAGTGTGGTTGTTCACTCGTAATTGTGTAGTGGGTAGTTTTTTATATGTGAGTTTTTTATGTGGCAGTGTAGAATGAATATATGTTGTTATATCTTACGGCGATGTGTAAATGTATTATTGTGTTCCTTAATTTCATGTTGTAGTGTAATGTCCATTGATTTATGTGGTAGTGATTTCACTTATTAATTCTACACTGTCAAAAAATGTATGACTAATTTCATCTATGAATTCCACACTGCCCAAAAAATGTATAGCTCTTTTTATGTATGAATTCCACACTATTTTCATGTATGAATTCCACACTGCCAAAAATGTATATGATTGTTTTTCATTTATGAATTTCACACTGCCCAAAAATGTATGACTGATTTCATGAATAATCTATTATACCAAAACACACTGGCCAAACATGGGCTTGGCTTTTTTGATCTTTCTTGATTTTGAATAATGTTAGAAGATGTTAGTATTAGACATATGTTGAATTTCATTTATGTGGTAGTGAAAAGAAACGGATAATGAAGGTATTATGTTGTAAATTTTAAGACTTTGTAAGCAGCATACACTGCAACATTATGTAAAATTGTGCAACATAGCACACTGGCCAAAACATAGGACACAACACACTGACAAAAAGTATACCTAGATCACAAGCATTCCACACTGCCAAAAATCTTTGAGCTTACACTTCATACTTTGTTTATTAAAGTTATTCAAGCACTTGTCATTTTGGTGATTTTTTTGTGTCCGCTTCCAATGAAACTCAATGAATAATTTATTACATTGTGATTTTTAGATATAAATCCCATTCGACCAAAACACACTAGGCAAGCATGGTCATAGGACATTTCCAAAAAGTGTAGCTAGAAGTTGATTATTCCACACTGTCAAAAAAATATCAGC